TTCTGTCTCTCATAGTTGAAGTGTACCTAGGATGAAAATTACAGGCCTCTCTCATATTTTTAAGTGGGAGAACTTGCACAATTGGTGGCTGACTAAATACTTTTTTGCCCCACTGTATGATTTAAAGGTGGGGTAGGTAAGTTTGAGAAACCGGCTCGAGATACACTTTGTTATATTCCATGGAATACTCTTAACATCCCGATAGCAATGAATATCTTAAGTGCTGTGGAAGCCGTAGTACTGTAAAAAGCACGACCAACCATTTTAGCCGGCCCGGCTAAAATAACTGGATGGCCTACCTGCCTGTCAGCCTTCCATCTGTGCACAAACTTATCTCGTGCCCTCATTGGTCATGTGCGCGTTCGTGTGTGTTGGAGGAGGGGCTCTGTAAGGACCTGGCAGATTTTTTCCGGTTATGTATTTTCAAATTCTAGCGTACTCGAGCTGGTTTCTCCAAAATTACCTACCCCATCTTAAGTCAAAAACAAGACTGAATATGTGACAAATTTGAAGGTAAATGCTGCCTCTTTGCATCACAGTCATATTTTCTAAAAAAATACAACATGGATCACAAGACGTTATTCCTTTGTGTCAACATAAAGTCTATCCCTGAGTCATGTGCTTTACTCAGCGTCATAAGGGTTTACTTGGACAGTGGGGAACATAAGCATGGATGATGCAATCTATTTAATTTATGTGTGTCAACCATAGACTGTATATATAAAGGTGTCAACAGGCCTCTGTTTGCTCTGAGAATATAAATATTGTATCTGCATTGAAGCAGTACCTCAAACAGCATTACATTTCATACAAAGTGGAATTTACTTTAACTACAATAACAACTGAGAAATAGAGTACAGGGTTTTGGCGCAAGGGTTTTCACTGTGGGTTTTATTTAGGATTCACCACAGCATGAGTCAGCATGTGTTACCAGTTACTTCTGTGCCAGTTTAATGAATAATTATCTGAAGGTCCTCTTCGACCAGTCTGCTGTGAATGATTGTGATTATTACAGAGAGGGTAAATCAATATTTCATCACCAACATTGTATACTGATACTAACACCAGAGGACTCATGATTTAGCTTGAAGACCGATGAGTCAGTNTGTGATTTCCTAAAATAGGTGAAATATGTACAGTGGGTCAAAAAAGTATTCCTCTCTCATCTTTTTAAGTGGGAGAATTTGCACAATTGGTGGCTGACTAAATACTTTTTTGACCCACTGTACATATTTCACCTATTTTAGGAAATCACATGCATATTCTATTTCTGAGCCCCATGAAAGCTAAACCATGCCACCTTCTTCTAAAGCTATTAACAGAATAGGGGACTTTTGAACTCCTTTTGTAATCATGATGTGAAATTACTCTGCTCCATTCACAACTCTTCACACTAAATTCATGTTAACATTCTAACATTGCTGCACATCAAAATGTATTTGAGTTTTAGCACATTCCTTTATTGTTCACAAGCCAACCTGTCCCGAGACAAACAAATAATAAAACATTTTTACTTTAAAATGAGTAATATTGTTGACTCACTGGTTGCGAGGTAGAGTTTGATGGCACAGGGCTCGAGGAGGCGATTGGGGGTTTAGCAGAGGGAAGGCTGAGGCGCTGCCCTGTGTCGGGAGGGGTGGAGATGAAGCGGGATAGCGATCTCGCATCGGGGCGTTCAGGTCCGCTCGGCACGGCCTCCTGGGTGAACACAGGCTGGCTGGGCGCGTGGGTGGGGGTGGTGGGTGGTGTGGAGAGTCCAGAGGCTGCAGAGAGATAAAAAGGTCAACAATACCACAACTTAACGCTTGTTCCTCTCAATGTTAGTCCATACTTTGTTTCCAGTGAAACTTAATCACCATGCCGATTGACATACCTGAAAGAATTATTTGGCAAGGCTAACGTGCTACAATCATGACTGCTGTGAATACCATCAACGCTGTCACATGCTATAACATAGTAGGAATGCATATCTGATCCATCAGGAGCTGAGAGAGTCAGCGGTACTGATGACAGAGATAAAGTTGCAATAATCCAACCACAAGGTTGGATTATTGCAACGCTCTATACGTGGCTATGGACCAGGCGTCAATTAGACGCCTACAGCTAGTGCAGAACGCAGCAGCACGTCTTCTCACTGGCCACAAAAAGCGTCACCACATCACTCCAATTCTGGCCTCGCTGCACAGGCTTCCAATTAGGTTCCGAATTGATTTTAAACTCCTTTTATTTGTTTTTAAAACACTCCTCCATCGCTACACCCCAGCCAGAGCATTAAGGTCTGCTGACCAGCTGCTGCTGGTAGTGCCCAAGACCAGGCTCAAAACCCGAGGGCACCGAGCCTTCGCAGCAGCTGGCCCTAGGCTCAGGAACACTCTGCCCCTCCATGTGAGGTCGGCCCAGACACTAGGTTTTTTTTAATCAACACTAAAAACTCACTTCTTCTCCCTGGCCTTCTAGTCAGAGCGGAGCACGACTCCTGACATTTCCCTGTGTTTGATTTTTATATTTGCTGTTGTAATTTATTGTCTTCTGTTTGCGATTGTAGTAATGTGTTATTTACATGTACAGCACTTTGGCTCGACCAAAAATCGTTTAAAAATGTGCCATATAAATAAAACCTGATTTGATTTGAAAGTGTCAGCTCAGTTGCTGACAGACAGGGCTACATTAGGTAAACCGCCATTAGAAAGACAGCTACCAAACTAAATGATGTCAACTTAAATAACAAGTATCAGCATGTTTTAGCTTTAATGTGTATCTTCAAACATTTGTATTGTCACTATTGCTTCTCTTTTATAAATAGTTTGTTATAATACACCACTAGCAGATTATATAGATTATGTGGTCACATTATTTGCAGTCTGGAATGTACAGTATATATTTATGTCCCATGGCTTTGTTGAATAACCAATTCTGATATACAGTATGGTCAGAAATATGTGTCACTGGAAGCTGAATTTAAATCACATAATTTCAAAAATATTTTACTATTCATGTTGTATAATTATGGAGAAAACTGAATACGAATGGCATTATTTAAATGTAAATGTAGTACTTTGGAACCGAATGTCAGTATAAGACATATTTTTGTGATATAAAACCTCCAACCGGTCCATGGTCTCTTCCCAGTGGGACGTGCATGGTGGAACCCTAACCAGGTGCACGAACCACCTCAACCACAACTTCATTGTCCCCTCACTCGAGAACAAGGCCCCGAGATACCCCAACTCCTTCACTTGGGGTAATGACAAGATCAGGTGGAGAGGGAGTGCTTCCTCTGGCAGCAGGAGAGAACCTCTCTGCTGCAGAAGACAGAAAAAACAGAGGCCTCATATGCTGCTCAGCTCCAAGCAAACGACAAACTAGCAGCTGATCTGAAGGAGGTGGAACAGCAGCTGGAGAACAACCGCATCAAGTACAAGGAGGACGAGGCACAGCTCCTCAGGGGGAGAGAGCAGGAGTGGCAGAGCTGGACGTTAACCCTGCTTCAGGTTGAAGAAAGGAGGAGGCCGAATCTGGATCAGCAGTGGCAGGAGGAGAAGTCCACGCTCCTTCAGGAGAAAGGACGCCTCCAGCAGAGTCTCTAGGAGAAGGAGGACGAGCGGAAGGAGACGCAGAGCTCCCTGAACGCTCGGCTGGAAGGTTTGGAGAGCCAGGCCGCCAGAAAGGAGAGAAGAAGCAACTGGTTTAAGAAGCTCTTGCCCTGCATCTACAGTTCCACGCTGAAGGAATGAATGAACTGTGTAATATGTGAAAATATGTAATGTTTGCTGTTTTGTTGATGTTCAAAAAGGGTAAAGTATTTATCAGGAGACAGGCGCTGGGTTCTTTTTAAATCAGGGTTGAAAACCTTTCTTTTAATGCAGCCTATCCAGAGATCCTTTAACCGTGCCTTGTCATTGCACTTTTAGTTGCAGCCAGTATTTTATCGCTTTTACGAATTGTCTTTTTATTATGATTTGTTTTGTTTTTTATTTTGTGCTTATTTTGTTTTTAATGATGATGTGTTGAATGCCTATGTGAATCACTTTGATTTGCCTTTGTGTCTTAAAATGTGCTATAAAATAAAAATCATAATAATGAACCCTGTTGCTGTGGTCCTGCCTGATGCTGTGGTCCTGCCTGTTGCTGTGGTCCTGCCTGATGCTGTGGTCCTGCCTGTTGCTGTGGTCCTGCCTGATGCTGTGGTCCTGCCTG